TCAAGAGCTCTATTATCAAGCTACATAGCTACATCCCCAATCTACATCCCCAATCTCTCATAGAGATTGGGGATGTAGCTATGTAGTGGGGTATTCTTGACATTTTAGAGAGGGGGTATTATTGACATTTTAGAGAGGAAACAGAYGTATAGAGTCCAGTTGTGTAGCTTGTAAATGAATAAACCAAAATCTAGGCCTTCAGCTTCAAGACCTGTACTCACTCATGTTATTACATTTGATATTTTCCCCCCTTGTTAATATCATAATTCACATACCATAAAATTTACCCCTTATAAAGTATATAAGTGATTAGTTCTTAGTACATTCACAAGGTTGTATAGCCATCACCCCTGTGTAATCTGACATTTTCATCACCTCAGAGAAAAATCCTTTTGTATCTATTAACATTAAGTTCTGATACCCCTACCCCATTAACCTGCCCACAACCACTAATATATATATACTTTTTGTCTCTAGATTTGCCTATTGTAGAAATTTCATACAAATGGAATGGTACAATTTGTGTTTTTTTGTGACAGACTTCTTTAACTTTGTGTGATTGTTATTTTCTTTCTATTTTAAAGGCACAGAAGAGGTTTATTTAGCAAAGTAGATACACATTCAAGGAAGAATTGAGGCAATCAAAAGAGATTTACCCCACTGGGTAATGTACCAGTACTTTGGTAATGAAGCAGCACTTTGTTACTTTTTATTGTTATATATAGGGATATATTACAATTTGTTTAGCCATTCATTAATTGATGGGTGTTTGGCTTTTTAACTATTATGACTAAAGCTGCCATGAGCCTTCATGTATACATTTTGAGGTATAATAATTATACTTAGTTATAATAATAATATATATATTATATATAATATATATAATTATTATACTTAGGTATAATATTATACTTGATGCTAGCCTGGGCAACACAGTAAGACTTCACCTCCAAAAAACAAAAACAAAAACAAGTTAGTGATTTTTCAACTAAGCCTTCCAGGTAGCTGCAGTTGTAGGCATGTGCCACTGTAACTACACACCTTCCCCCACCCTTCTCCTTTTTAATTTCTCTCAATTTATATGCTGTCATTCAGCTCTTGCTTGTCCCCTCTTACTTTTAAGGCAACCCTAGCTTGTAATCTTTAATTTTTGTTGGTTTCTTCTTAATACTTTRTAATCAAAAGTTAATAGATCTTTTGACCCCTGCCTTTAAAATTTTCTATTACTCTTTCCTAGGTCACCACTGTAGCTTTCTGATGCCTCTTTCTGGTCAGGTTTATTGTATGTAAGATTAGGTTAATTTTCTCCTTCCATGAGTTTGACTTCCTCTAGCTCAAGGATTCTTTATTGAATTCTGTTTGTCCATGGCCTTTCTATCCATTACTTCTTTCTCTCCTGTATACAGCCCTCACTTTTCAGTTAGATTAAAGAATTCAGGTTCCAGTTGTATCTTATTGTGTTCTTCAGCTTGGTTCTAAGAATGTTAGTATTGGCATTGCAAATCCTGGTCTATCATTCACTAGTTTGGTGACAGGGATTAAGTTATTTGACTTGTGTAAGCATTAGTTGCCTTTTTTGTGTGTGTGTGTGTGTGTGGTGCTGGAGATTGAACCCTGGACCTTTTACATGCAAGGCAAGCACTCTGTCAACTGAGCTATATCCCCAGCCCTAGTTGCCTCATTTTTAAAAAGGGCTAATGCCACCTACTTTCTGTATGATTGATAAAATTAATTTAATAAATGTTGCACATTATTATGTTCATTCTACTTGAAGTGGTAACTCTTAATTCTCCTTCCAAAATCCTTCCTATCTTTTGCAAGTTGGGTCCAGTTCAGAATACCTTCCATGTACCTGTTAACATTTTACTTCTTCACCAAACTGGTTGTTAGTGCTTCCTTCTTTGATATCTCAATGAACTCTATGAAAGCATGGGCTGTTTGTTGTGGACATACTGCTAGTCCCTAATATAGTCCTTGATGTGTGGTGGGTGCTCATATTTGTTGAATAAATAAATCTTTTTTTCTGGGGGGGGGCACCAGGGATTGAACTAAGGGGTAGTCAACCATTGAACCACATCCCTAGCCTTATTTTGTATTTTATTTAAAGACAGGGTCTCACTGAGCGGCTTAAGGCCTTGCTAAATTGCCGAGGCTGGCTTTGAACTCGTGATCCTCCTGCCTCATCCTCCCAAGCTGCTTGGATTACAGGTGTCTGCCACTGCACCCAGCTATAAATCATTTTTTAAAATACCCTGAGACATTATTGTTAATGTTATGAATTTACATGATTGCCATATGTCAGTATCTTTTTAAAGATATAAGGGAGGCATATATCAGATACAGGAAAACCTTTCATCTGCAGAGTTCTTCATCATGAGTTATTTCTGACCTGATAAATATGCAGAGCTTATCTTTACTCTTAGTMTTCTATAGAGCTTTTAAGTCTAATTGATGTATGAATCTGAAGTAACTTAATTTTTTTTCCCTTCTAAGCTCATACTGTACAACTAAAGTTGTTAGAAATTCTGATGTGTAGATAAATAGTTTACTTTTTTGAAAATGGCCCTTAAAATAAAACAAACAAACAAAATACATGGAAATGAGAAAGAGAATGGCTTTTAGGCTTTAATCTACAGTGGATATACTCAGCAGAGAAAGAGAGTAAGTGCTTTTCCAGGACCCCAAAGATAACACCGTACAACTACCATCAGAATACCAGTGGACAAGACATAGCCCTGGCCCTCTATGTGCTTCCAGCTATAAGAAGGGAGGTATAGCCAGGCACAGTGGCCTATTCTGTAATCCCAATAGCTTGGGAGGCTGAGGTAGGAGGATCATGAGTTCAAAGCCAGCCTCAGCAGAAGTGAGTCCCTGTCTCTAAATAAAATACAAAAAAGACCAGATGTAGCTCAGTGGTTAAGGGCCCCTGGGTTCACTTCCTGGTACAAAAAAAAAAAAAAAAAAAGGAGGAGGAGGGAGGCATAATAATCAACTGAAATGCTTATCAATAGAAATTAACAAAGTATAATTTGTATAAGTTACCAGGAAATAATGTAAATAAATTCTTTTTTATTTTAAAAAATTGCTCTAAAGAATTATACATGACAGTAGAATGCATTTTGATACATTATTCATAAATGGAGTCTAACTTCTCATTCTTCTGGTTTTACATGATGTAGTATTACACCAATTGTGTAATCATATATGTACATAGGGTCATAATATCTGATTCATTCTATTGTTCCTGTCCCCCTTGTAAATAAATTCTTGAACTCAGGATTGTATATGTTGTATATACTTTTTTAAAAAAATATTTATTTTTTAGTTGTAGTTGGACACAATACCTTTATTTTATTTATTTATTATATGGTGCTGAGGAGGTAGGTAGTCGAGCGTTCTACCGCTGAGCCACAACCCCAGCCCTGTATATTCCTTTTTTAAAAAAAAAWTTAAAATTTATTCTAATTACTTATACATAACAGTAGAAAACATTTATGCACTTTGATATATCATGCATAAATGGATATAATTTCTCATTTTTCTGATTATACATGTAGGATCACATTGGTTGTGCAGTCATATATGTACATAAAGTAATAATGTCTGTTYTATTCTATTATCCTTCCTATCCATATATCCTTCCTACCTACTTACCCCCTCCCTTCCCTTCACTCCTCTCTATCTAAAGTAATGCTGTTCTTCCCCTGATTTTTTAGGTGTAGATGGACACAACACAATGCCTTTATATTTTTATGTGGTGCTGAGGATCAAACCCTGGTCCTGCCCGTGCTACGCGAGTGCTCTACCGCTAAGCCACAATCCCAGCCCTTTACATGATATTCTACAGCTCCATCCCTTTACTGGCAAATGCCATAATTTCATTCTTCCTTAAGGCTGCGTAATATTCCATTTTACACCCCCCCACACCCTTTTAAAAATCCATTCATCTCTTGAAGGTCACCTAGGTTGTTTCTATAGTTTAGCTATTGTGAGTTGAGCTTATGCTGGATATTCTTTTTTTTTTTTTTTTTTGTGGTGCTGGGGATTGAACCCAGGGCCTTGYGCATGGGAGGCAAAGTACTTTACCAACTGAGCTATATATCCCCAGCCCTGGATATTCTTAACAACTATGATAAAGTCTATTTTATGTTTCAAGCTTAATTTTTAAAATTATAGACGCAATAACCAGTTTATTATAGAATCTAGTTTCATAAGTACAAAATAATATTAAGAGGCAGAATGTAACCTAGTAATAACTCTTAGTTGCCTTTTCACTGCAGTTTTTTCTTTAAAAAAAAAAAGCCACAGATTACATACATTYGGAATTTCATATTTTTCTGCTTAAGATTCTATCATAAACCTTTACATTTTTCATATGCTAATATTTTTATAATAGTTGTAGCCTCACCATAATTTACTTAACTAGTTCCTTATTGTTGAGCATTTGACCTATTGGCAGTGTTTTGCTATAAGAGAAATGAAAGAATCAGTGACTGAACTCTGAATTTTCAGATATCAAAGAATCTTTGTTAGGAATATAGAAATTGGATAGTTGGGATGGTTAGGGAAGTGTGTTGGTATACCTAGTGGTGGTTGTATTTCTGAATTATTCTGTGGATGTGGGTATAGATTGCATTTGATTAGTGTTTTTTCCTYTCCCCTTCAGATCTTAGTTTTTTTTTTTTTTTACTTCTTTAGTAAAAGCTTTTTGAAAAAGCATATTATCATTAGATCAAAGGGAAGAAGTATTTTTAAGTCTTTTGATAATAGTGCAAGTCACTTTTTGGATATTTTGCTTTCATTGGTACCATATGAGGGTGTTTGTTTCAATGGTAGTTGTTACTTAAGAAAGAAGAGCAAGCAACAAAAATGATGACCCCTATACTAAAATCTTGTGTGAAATATAGAGTTTGGACAATTTTTTAAAATATTGATCAGCCATTCATTTTAATCCCTGCTGAGTTTTTTTTTTTTTTTTTTGCCCCCATTTTGTAAAACAGGAGATTTGATGAAGAGTGCTGCAGGAGAGTTTGCAGATGATCCCTGCTCTTCTGTGAAGCGAGGCAATATGGTTCGGGCAGCTCGAGCTTTGCTTTCTGCTGTTACCCGGCTGCTGATTTTGGCTGATATGGCAGATGTCTACAAACTACTAGTTCAGCTGAAAGTTGTAAGTATGGGCCTATGTTTGTAATTTGTTCTTTGTGTATCATAGTGAAGCTGATGGTGGCCATTCTTAGTTCATCAGTTCATAGGTTTTAGTTTGGTTTTGAAGTTTATCTACATGGACCATGAATGTTTTTGTTTAGTTTATGCTTACTACTTTTTCAAGTATATATGATCTGGGCCCTCCTATGAGCCAGTGTTGTCTTGATTCTAAGGAAGAACTTGTAGCAAAGGTATTGTTTAGACTTCTTTGCAGTACTGATTAAACATTTCCTTGCATTGGTAGAATTGAAAAACTAAGATACATTAAATTGTACACTTTTAGATAGAGACCAATATTACTATATGTCCTTTCTACCTTTTGTAAAGCATCCATGTAATAGGAGGTCCATAGCAGCTCAAGAGATTTAACTTTGAATTGCTTTTGAGTAGTTGTTAAAAGGAATTAAAAAATATTCTCAGATACCATACCATACATATCATTATCTATAGACTTGTAAGTCAGAACTTTTGTTTTTTGGGGTTGTGTTTTATAGGTAGAAGATGGTATCTTGAAACTGAGGAATGCTGGCAATGAACAAGACTTAGGAATACAGTATAAAGCCCTGAAACCTGAAGTAGATAAGCTGAACATTATGGCAGCTAAAAGACAACAGGTACAGTCATTATTTGGGGATATTTTTAAATTGTTTATATTTAGTGGGAAAAAAACCATTTTGCCTACGTTTTCTGATGGTACCATTATCTTGCTCTGCTAATACAGTTTATAATATATTTAAGGTATCAGTTCGGTATTGTGCACTTAACAGAAGTATAATTATAATAAAGTTGTATTCATGTTATTCTCATTTTAATTTTGTGAAAATTTTAAGTAGTTTATCATTTTTGATGAAGATATATATGGGGAGGTGATTGGCCTTTGTTAGATGTGTTCAAGTATTAATGTGAGTTTTAGTAGAATTTAATAAGTAGAATTTAGATCTTTAGGAAACCTAAACAAGTTAAAACATATTAAAGTTATCTCTACATCTGAGACCCTCCCCGCTGCTTTGTCAATTTAAAGTAGCTCTTATAATCATTACTAGTAGTTTTTGTTGTGTGTGGCATGTGGATCATTATTCTCATTTTTTTTCAAGTTCCACAACCTGTTTGCTGTTGGGGTCTTTGAAATCCTTCCTCTGTCTTTTCTGTTGGATACTTTGTATTTTAGGTTTGTGTTCTGCAAGGAGGATACATGCATTGCCATCCAGCTTTTTTATAACTCCTCAAGTACTGATGAAACTTACTCTACTTCCCCACCTCAAGGATGGTGCTAAGGATTGAACCCAGTGCCTTCTGTATTCTAGACAAGTGTTCTACCACCAAGCTACACCCTCTACCCAGCAACTACTTTTCTTATATTAAAACAATCTCTGAGGGGCTGGAGTTGTGGCTCAGAGGTAGAGTGCTTGCCTACCATGTGTGGGGTGCTGGGTTTGCTTCTCAGCACCACGTATATAAATAAGTAAATAAAATAAAAGTCTATCAACAACTAAAACATATTTAAAAGAAAACAATCTCTGAAAGGATGAATTGTCATTATTACCTAATACTCTTATCAGTTAGGATATCTTGTACTGTCTGTACAGGAAACCCAACTCTTAACTCCTTGAACAGAGGAGGTGGGCATTTTTTCACTGACTTTAAGTTTGGTGAAGTGACATCAGGGTTGTTAAAATTTAAGAACTTTGCCGTATCTTAAGGATCCAGGCTTTTGACATTTTTTTTTTAAGAACATTGGAATGGATATGGTTTTTTTTTTAATGAGACCCCCCAAAAGTATGTTAAAGAGACGCTTGGGCTACAACATTTATTGCAACATTAATCACAATTGCCAACAGTAAAATGAATAATTGATAAAGAAAATGTAGTGTATACATAGATTAATACTGTCCATCATAAAAAAGAACAAAAAAGTGTCATGTGCATAGCATAGTGTTAACAGGAGATCATTATGCTAAGTGAAATACACTAGGCACAGAAAGATGAGTGCTGCATGATTTTACTCATAAACAGAATAAAGAAGAAATAATATAAAGGAAACCCTATTGACTTTAACTTGTTTTTTTTTCTCACTTAAAAATCATCTTTCTTCTAAACCTATTGCTTAGAAACCAAATTTATCCCTTCCACTAAACAGTGTTCATAATGAAAGCAGTACTAAAGTTATCATTACATATACACAAAGTAAATATTTTATTAAAAATTGAAAAATTGTAATTGTTTTATTTTTGTTAAATACACAACAGCGGAATGTATTACAATTCTTATTACACATATCTTTTTTCATATCTTTGTATAAAGTATGTTCATGCTGATTCATGTCTTTATGTATTTGGTTTTTTTTGCATTACAATTCTTATTACACATATATACAACAATTTTTCATATCTCTGTTTGTATATAAAGTAGGTTGACACCCAATTCGTGTCTTCATAAATGTACTTTGGATAATGATGTCCATCACATTCCACCATCCTTGCTAATCCCCTGCCTCCTCCATTTCCCTCCCTCCCGTCTTCCCTATCTAGAATTCATCCATTCATCCCATGTTCCCCCTCTCTACCTCATTTTGAGTCAGTCTCCTTATATCAGAGAAAACATTCGGCATTTGTTTTTTTGGGATTGGCTAACTTCACTTAGCATTGTCTTTTCCAACGCCATCCATTTACCTGCAAATGCCATGATTTTATTGCTGAGTAAAATTCCATTGTGTATATATGCCACATTTKTTTTTAACCATTCATCCACTGAAGGGCATCTAGGTTGTTTCCACAGTTTAACTRTTGTAAGTTGTGCTGCTGTAAACATTGATGTGGCTGTGTCCCTGTAGTATGCTGTTTTTAAGTCCTTTGGGTGTAGTCCGAGGAGAGGAATAGCTGGGTCAAATGGTGGTTCCATTCCCAGATTTCCAAGGAATCTCCATACTGCTTTCCATATTGGCTGCACCAATTTGCAGTCCCACCAACAATGTATGAGTGAGTGTACCTTTTTCCCCACATCCTCGCCAACACTTATTGTTGTTTGTCTTCATAATAGCTGCCATTCTGACTGGAGTGAGATGATATCTTAGAATAGTTTTGATTTGCATTTCTCTGAATGCTAGAGATGATGAGCATTTTTTCATATATTTGCTGATTGATTGTATGTCCTCTTCTAAGAAGTGTCTGTTCAGCTCCTTGGTCTCTTTATTGATTGAGTTATTTGTTTTTTCGGTGCTTAGCTTTTTAAGTTCTTTATATACCCTAGATATTAGTGCTCTATCTGATGTGTGAGGGGGAAAGATTTGCTCCCAGGATGTAGGTAGGCTCTCTGTTCACCTCACAGATTGTTTTTTGCTGAGAAAATCTTGACATTTTTTCAACATGTTATCTTTAGTGTACCTGTTGCTAGATGGGTGTAGATGTTCTAAGTGTGATATTTGTATATATTAATGTGTCCGATGAGAATAAAAGGTTTCTTTTATATGTCTCTCTTTGTGTAAACAACCTAGAAGCCCTCGTAAACTTACCCTGAATCTGAAATGTGCACATACATACATACCTATGCTCTTTTTTCCTTTGTATATTATGTGTATTATAATTTGTACATAATGGTGGAATTTGTTGTTACACATTCATACTTGCACACAATATAACAGTATATTTTGGCCTTGATTGTCCCCCCAGCACTTACCCCCTCCTTCCTTGTCTCCCAACCCCAGTTTTTCTCCTCTACTCATCTCTCTTTGATTTTCCTAAGATTCCTACCACCACCTTTTTTTAATCTTTTCCCCCTCTAGTTTCCACACATGAGAGAAAACATATAACCCTTGACCTTATGAGTTTGGCTTATTTCATGTAACATAATGGTCTCTAGTTCCATCTGTTTTTGTGCAAATTGTACTTCATTTTTCTTTATGGCTGAATAAAACTCCATTGGGTATATATGTCATGTTTTCTTTGTCCATTTATCTGTTGATTAACACCTAAACTAGTTCTCTAGTTTGGCTATTATGAATTGTGATGCTATGATGTATCACTAAAGTATGATGACCTTAATTCTTAGAATAAGTATTGAGGAGTGGTATAGGTAGGTCATAAAGTAGTTCCATGCCTAGTCTTTTGAGGAACCTTTACGCTGATTTCCATAGTGGTTGTACTAATTTACAATCCCACCACCAGTGTAAAAGTGTTTCTTTTTCTTCATCATTTATTATTGTTTGTATTCTTGATGACTGCTGTTCTGTCAGGTGAGAGATGAAGTCTCAGTGTAGTTTTGATTTATGTTTCCACAATTACTAATGATGAACATTTTTTCTATGATTTTTGTTTTTTTTTTTGGCCATTTGTATTTCTTCTTTTGAAAAGTGTTTGTTTACCCATTTATTAATTGGGTTATTTGAGTTTTTTGTGTTAATTTTTTTTTTAGTTCTTTATATATATTTTAGATATTAATCCTCTGGCAACATGCCCAACAGGCCTATTTGTCCCTCAATATCCTGGTTTTCATCATTGTTCACCCTATTTTCTGCCGTGGAATCTACCATGTCTGGATGCATCAATGGGCTCCTTTTGCCCTGTTATTCCTGGTTAGGTTTGGCCAGTGGGAGCATAAGCAGGAGGTTAAAGGAGATAGGAGAGCGACGTTGGGGTGTTTTTCATAGACCCCCTACCTGCTGGTGGCCCTGGGTAGATCCAAAGTTCCTGGGTTCCTGCACCCTGGATTCTGGTAACTGCTGCTGCCTCATGTCCCTTCAGACATAAGTGACCTAATAGCCTTGTGGTTTTCCTATACTTCTTGTGTATTCCTAGTTCTTTTCTTGTGAATTAAAATTCTGTTCATTTTATCTTAAGGGTCCAGCTTGTTGGAAACTTCACACTGGGTATTTCCATATTTAGCTGCATTTGGGTACTATCCGCTAGTTTCCTTCAATAACTTGTCATGTTTTCCCACACTGTGTTTTCTAATAGAATTCTTTTTCTGCTGTATGCTGTATGCTTAGCCATTGGTCTCCCCAGAAATGTTATGTSATAATTTGCTTCCTAATTGAGCCTTTCATCTTTGTAGGCACCCTTTGTCCAGGAAAAGGGAGTATTTCCTCAAGACTGTGTGGCTCTCTTAACTGCCCTAGTATCATTTAACAACAGCTACCTATTAAAGAAAACCTCATAAGGTCCACATGCTTTCTGGAATTTACCTTTTTTGTTTTTGGATATGGCATGGTAGTCATGATGACATTGTTGACAATAATATTAGAATAAAACATTTTGTTAGAGTTATTCATTAGTAACTCTAAGCAAGTGTTTACTATGTGCCAAGCACTGTTATAAGGTATCCCCCACCACGCCGCCCCGTACCCCTTGCAGTGCTTGGGATTGAAGCTAAGGCCTCATGCATTCTAGGCAAGTGCTCTACCACTGAGCTATATCCTCAGCCCTGTTACAAATCCTTTATAAACACAAACTGAATCTAATCTTAAGAAAGTAGTAAATAGGCAGATACTATAATTATTCACATGTTAATTTTTATAGATGAAGGAAATGTAACACAGAGAGGTTATGTAATCTGGAAAGGTTTTTCACTTAGTAAGCAGTGGATCTAGGATTTGATCCTAAACTGTCTCACTTAAGAACAGGGATTTTGTCTGTTTTATTGCTCCTAGAATCCCTAGTGCCTAGAACATTGCCTAGACTTAGTATTTCTTCTTTCTTTCTTTCTTTTTTAATTGTAGGCATACACAATTTGTTTATATGTGGTGCTGAGGATTAAATCCAGTGCCTCACACATGCTAGGTGAGCACTGCACTGCTGAACCACAACCCAGGCCCTAGTATTTCTTAATAATTATTTATTTAACAAATGTATAAACAGACTACTTGCTATACTGCAGATCTGTCCTGGAATGGGATTCTAAGTGTGGCTCTAATTTGTTACTTTCTTGGGCTAAAATATTGTTTGCTAACTAGAAGTGTTGCATTTCTATTAGCCTCTAGGCTCTACTTTGACCGTAAGGGTATCTTAATACATTTTCTGTTGTGTCTGAATACCACATACTGTGTGATTTATAATGAATAGATGTTTATTTAGCTGGTAGTTCTGGGGGCAGGGAAATCCAAGAGCATGGTCCCAGTTGATTTGCTCAGCATCTACTGAGGGCTTTCTTGATGCATTCTAACATGGAAGAAGGTATCTGTTATCAAGAGAAAGCTTGGATCTCTTTTTCTCTCCTATTAAAACCCTCATGACCTCATTCAATCCTGATTACTTCTCAAAAGCTTCACCTGCAAATAGCATTAACATATGATTTTGGAGATTGTTTTCAACATGTAAACTTTTGGAGGAATACATTCAAACCATAGCAAAGTGTAAAGGTGATGGCAAAGTTCAAATTGAGCTAACATTAACCTTGGTTTCTGTAAGGAGGACCAATGCTGACTCATGCTGTCAACTCTGGGTCTCCAGCATGCTAGGGACTTAGTATTTTAATGTTCATATTTCATTCACCCATCTACGGACAACTTATTGTGATATTTGGAAGAACCTAATGCCTCTTCTTTCTATAAACTCTGCTTTGCATGGTTATTTTTCCAAAAATTTGAACAGATATATTATTTTGTACCTGTAAATATGATCTTTTGAATACGAGACGAGATATGATCTGTGGCTATGATTTTATCTTGTTAAATAGGGAAATAAGAAGAAACTTTCACTTGGGTAGAAATAGTATTATACTCTGAGACAGAGCTTCTACTTCTTGGTCATTGAATGGACTGGATTGTTAATTTGAGTTCTTTCCTGTATGTTTTCTGTATGGCTGTTCCTGAGTCGGCTTGAATCATAACTGGATTGGTGAAGTTGAGGAATCATGAAAGCTAAACTAGACCACAGGATTCTAATTTTGTTTGTTTATTTATTTTTATTATTTTTTGGGTACCAGGGATTGAACTCAGGGGCATTCAACCATGGAGCCACATCCCTAGCCCTATTTTGTATTTTATTTAGAGACAGGGTCTCACTGAGTTGATTAGCGCTTCATTTTTTTTTGCTGAGGCTGACTTTAAACTCTAGATCCTCCTGCTTCAGCCTCCCGAGCTGCTGGGATTACAGGCCTGTCCCATCGCACCTGGAAGGAATCTAATTTTATAAGTAAACTATTTATTACATTGCTTAATAGCTCATTTTTCTCAGTAATTTGAATTTCTTATCAGCACTATATATCTTGAAAAGTTTACTTTTGTTTGATTTGTTTTGTTTCTCCTGGTACTGGGGACTGAACTGAAGGGTATTTTACCACACAGACGTATCACTAGCCCTTTTTAAGTTCATTTTGAGACAGAATCTTGCTACGTTAAAGAGGTTGATCTTGAACTTGTGGTCCTCTTCTCTCAGCCTTCTAGTTGCTGGATTATAGGTGTGCACCATGATTTGTTCTTATTACAATTAATGATGATGCTCACTGTAGTGTCCTGTTTCCTGTCTTACCAAAAAGCTAGTTTCTTTGTGCTAAGGCAAAAGTACTTCTGAAGAGGAAAATACAGCCCCTTTGTAGTAAGGATAAACGATGATATTTATTT